GGGGGGGACAAGCTTTTTAGCAGGGCCAGCTGGGACAGGACAAGGGGGGATGGCTTTAAACTGAAGCAGGGTGGGTTTAGACTGGATCTAAGGAAGAAATTCTTTGCCGTGAGGGTGGTGAAACCCTGGCAGGGGTTGCCCCGAGAGGGGGTGGAGGCCCCATCCCTGGGACCATTCCAGGCCAGGTTGGCCGGGGCTGTGAGCAACCTGATGTGGTTCAAGGTGTCCCTGCTCCTGCAGGGGGGTTGGGCTGGGTGACCTCTGGGGGTCCCTTCCCACCCAAAATATTCCATGATTCTATGACCCAGGGTTGGGGTCGGGAAATGAGCCCAGGCATCTGCAGGGGACCCCTGCTGCGTGTGACTGGGGTGTGCTCAGGGTGGGGGGGTCCCTCTCCAGTACCTGCAGGTGATCCCTGAGGATGAGGACATCTACGAGCGGTGTCTGACCCAGGCTGAAATCCAAGGGAACATCAACAAAGTGAACGGTGAGCAGAGCTGCGGCTTCCCTCTTGGGGGAGCCTGGGGGTCTTCAGAGCTCATCGGTGGGACCGTGGTACCCTGGGCTTGGGGGGGGAGACCCTGCCCGGGGTGTGGGCAAAGCAGAAAGGAGCTGTCTGTCCGCTTGGGCCAGCTTCAGACCCAGTGGGGAGCGGGGCTGTGTGTGCATTTCCAAGGGAAAATGAGAATTATCGGCGTGCAGGCTTCACCTGGGGGGGATCCCGTGGGGTGGGTTACACCTCTGGGTGTAAACTGGTCTCTCTCTCCCAGTGCACGGAGCTCTGGAGGAGGTGGACGATGCCCTGGAGAGACAGGACGCGCCGGCGCTGTACCGAGCGCTGCAGGACCCTGTCCTGGCCCTGCGATGCCTCCAGCGGGAAAACCTCGACCGCTACTTGGAGCAGCTCAGCGAGGAGCGGGAGCAGAAGGCACTGGTGGGAGCCTGTGGACACGAGGGGGTACCTGTGCTGGGGTGGCACCCCAGGAGGAGGACAGGGGGGGTCCCCGTGGGCAGGGAGTCGCTCTGTGGAGCAGCAGCCTCCCGCAAGGGGTCTGAGCGTGGCTGGCCCACCCGCCGGGGGGGGGTCTGG